CATCTAACTACCAAACATCTGGTCTGCTTCTCACCCTGTGCATTGCCCTCCCCTCTCGGAGGCCCCAGGCCCCTATCCCATTCCTTAGCTCAGATGGTATATATGCCTGTGGGTAAAACTGCAATATTTCCAGAATCCCTTGCCTGGCCTTAGTACATCTCCATATCAATAGGTGTTTCCAAGGGGTGGGGAAAAGTAGTCCATCTCCATGTCAATAAGTGATTACAAGGGCCAGCAGGGCTTATCTGGACTGGAGAGGTGGGGTGGACACTGCCCTTCTTCTGAAGCTGGGTGAGAGAGTGCTGGACGACTGCTTGTAAGAAATAAATGGGTTTCTCCCACTTTATTTCTCCCTATGACTGATTTCAGTTTCAAAGATATTTTGCCCCAGGATTTTCCCCCCTGCGTTATAATGCCTGATTTCACCTTTCTGTCTTTGAACCTCTCACATACGTGAGGTTCCTGTATGTAAAAAATTTGATTCTCTCCTGTTAATTTGTCTCATGTCAGTTTGATTTTTAAAGCAGCAAGAGGAACCTTGAAGGGTAGAGGACAGCGTCCCCCCCATCACTGGCATCAACCCAGGTGTGGTTCTGCTCCTTCATAATCCCTGTGGGTAAACACTTATTCCTGTTTATCTTCCTCCCACCACTAACCTTTGCCTTCTCGTCATCCTGAGCCCACATGTTGTCTGCAAGGGTTTCATTACCCTCGGCAGCCTCTCTCCTCACGCTCAGGCATTCCACATCGCAGGAAGTCCACTGCCCTTTGTGTTTTCCTACACAGTAGGCTTAACTCATTGACAGACTCCACTGTAGAATCTTTGAAGGATCTTTCCAAATCTGAGGGTTTTTTTCCTTTACTTAATCAGAATTCAACTTCATCAAAATCTCCCAGTGTCTGTGTCTGAAAAAAGTTTGCCTTAGGAAATATTTGCATGGGGTAAAGGCCCTCCAGCCCCGAGAGTACCAGCCCGGGGCAAATACTTTGATTAGTGTAGGAGAGTTGTCTTAGAGGGACAAGAATGGGAAAAGAGAAGTAAGGAACATTAAGGTCAGGGCTGTAGTGCAGATTGTGAGGAAACTCCTCCTAACCGAGATCAGGATGCTTGTGGCCCTTCATTCCCTGGTTCGCCTCTTTTTTGTGCAGAGAGGATGTGGCTCTGCCACGCTGTGGATTCACTGCTGGCACAGAAGTACACAGCTGTCTGGTTGGTGCTGGCTGACCCCAGGGTCAGGGAGAAAGATTCTGTTTCATTTCGAGAGACACCATACCCGTCGGGGATATCTCCCTTTTCAAAGGTGTTGCGACCAGTCGAGTAATAGATCAGCTGCAGTCCAAATCCTGAATCTTGGCGATACCAATACATTGAAATATGATTCATATTTTGCAAACAATTTAGAGTTAATTTCTTCCCTGCCCCTGAAATCACGTGTCTTGGGAATTGTGTGACTGCAGCATCTTTGAGGCCTGTGGGAGAAAGAAGGGTGATCAAATAAAGACAGAGCCTGGGATGGGGAGACTGATGCTGACGTTCTGAAGGCACACGCAGGAGCTGGAGCCTGGGAAGCCAGAGGCTGGGATTCCCACCTGTGCCCAGGACTCACCGACTCTAATGAGACAGAGGATGACGCCGCAGAGGAGCCTGCTGCCCATGGCAGCATCAGGGAGGAACGCTGCCTGGCCCTGAGATGACATTAGTCTCAGTGCTTGCGCTTTTCATCTACTTCCTGGCAGAGACCACACCCTCCCACCTCACTGCTCAGAAAGCCTCTGAGACTCATCAGACTGTGGTGGTTTCATTTATCAAGGTCACCTAACTGTTTATGCTGCTCTCCTGAAGAACTAGCAGGGCAGTTTTTTGCCTCTGAATTTCCTAATGTCTCCTATATGATGGTGTCCTTTCTGGAATGGTGAATTTGTGTCTTTTGAATCTTTTCTAGACTATTATGGTAAATGGAGTCGTGTTCCATGGAGCTTGAGTGTTTCCTTTGAACGCTTCTCTTGGAAATCTTCCCCATTTTACCCTCAGATCCAACTTCAAATTCCACTCTAGAAGCACTTTCATCTCCTTAGCCAGCCTCATCTTAATTCATTTCCATGAATGCTGAACGATCTCTGCATCCTTCCAGACAGGACGCAGCAGGGGCTGATTCTAAAGGGAGAGAGAAGGGGTGGTGGTAGGAATGGGGCACACAGGCATGTAGGAAGTGTCTAAACATGCTCAGAGACTATTTAGATCTGCTGTAGCAACTTGTCTTACTAGGCGTTCCACTAGATAGACCTGGGTGTGGACAAATCTGATGTAAATTCCTTTAGCAGCTGTCTCCCTCCAAGTGATCTAGTGATCTAGTGCTCTGCAAATGCATGCCCTGGGAAAAAAAGCATTTTAAGGAAATTGTGGGATACTACTCACCACAGATGAACAGAAGCTGAAATGTCATTGATGTGGTTTCTGCTGTTTAGCATTATTTCTAGGAAGAAGCACGTTTTTCCCCTCAAATTCTAGGTCACCTGAGGATGTGGCTGTAAATTTCTGCAGATAAACTGCTAGTAGAGAGGTGTGAAGATATCTGCAGGTCCAGGAGGAAACTCTCCTTCTAGAAACACTATATCAGGGAATCTTTATCAGTGCTGCCAGCAACAGGTGAGCCTTGGACCGGCTGTACACGCAGCCCTAGGGCTTGGTCATGCCAGAACATTCTCTCATGACCAAAGTTTTAAAGACTTTTCTTCCCCCTGTCCTTCTCTAGACATCTAGGTTCTGGATTACTCTAACATCCAGGTGACCTCAGGGAAAAAGATGAAATTACAAGCAGTGTCCACCAGGAAGCCCAATGTTTCAGCCATTAAAAAAAGCTTGCGGGAGGATGCTATAGCCTAGAAATCCCAGGATCTGGTTGCATGATCTCATCCATTCCCAGAAGACACAAAGGCAATCCTCAGAAGAGCCTGATACCCATGGCAGGATAGGAGAAGACATGGGTGTCAGCCTCTAGTTGTTTGCCTGTGATATCACTGTCCCTGGCCCTGTCTGTAGTCCCACATCCTATAGAGATGGAGTCTCTCCTTCTTCATAGAGCACCACTAGGCGTTTGACCTTCCTGGACAATTCAGGCTGGGAAAAATATTTGTTTGCAGTTTATACATATTATTCCCTTGCATGCTTTTTGAATCACTTATGGTTCTTCAACATGACATTCCTTAATGACTACCATTGCCATCAGGTTAGTGGTTAGCATAGAAGGCTCAGAAAACTGCCTGAATTTGAATATTGATTCTGCTACTTACTTAGGTAAGGATATGAACTGGTTTGTGCCTCAACTTTATTTTCTGTAATTTGTGTTAATTAAAGTACCTGCTTTGTAGAGTTGCTGTGAGGATTAAATGAATTCCTATGTTAAGTGGTTATAACAATGCCTAGTGCTTAGTAATCATTAATTTTGAGCTTGTAAAATGGTTAGCCAGTAGCACTGCTACTTATATTACTGCTACTAACATCATCATTTATTATTGAGTTTAATGTTTGTGTGGGGGATTGTTAGGCAACTCACATATATTTTCTCAACTCAAGAAACCTTTAGGAGCCATATATTATTAGCTTCATTTTATAAAGTAGGAAATTATCTTTAGAGAGGTTAAGCAGCTTGGCAAGACTTGCAAATGACCAGACAACTCTAATTCCAAAATTGGTCCTTTTGACAAATAATAATGAAAATTTCAAGGATTTGTTGCCTATTACAGGTTCTATTTCTTCCTCTTCCTTTCCCCCTTCTCCCTGTTCTTTTTATAACACTTTAAAAGTGTAAAACCCATTCTTAGTTTATGGGCCCTACAAATGCAGGCCACTGGCTGGACTTAGCATGTGCACCGTTGTTTGTCTTTCTAGGCCATAGAGAGAAGTTTAGGACCAACTGGCTTCACGGGTGAGTTCCATCAAGTATTTAAATAATAACTAATACCACTCCTATACAAAATCTTCTGCAAAACAGAAGAGGGACTATTTCCCAATCTATTCTATCAGGCAGATAGAATAAATACTAAACACAAAGAAATCACAAGAAAACTAAGAACCAGTATTTCTATGGACACAGGTGTAAAAATTCTCCATAAAATATTGGCAAACCTAATCCCAAAATATATAAAAAAAAGATTAATATGTACCATGACCAAGTGGGAGTTATCCCATGAATACAAGATTAGCTTAACACCCCAAATCAAGAAACATAATACACGATATTAATAGTTAAAGGATATGCCACATTATCATCTTGGTATTAGCAGTAAAAGAAACTTGATAAAACAGCACACATTCATGATAAAAACTCTCAACAAATTATGAATAGACAGACTTCCTCAGTTTGGTAAAGAGCCTGAATAAAACAGCCGCCTTAATGGTGAAAGCTTGCAAAGGCTTTACCTTGAATGCTGACGGCCAGGCAAGGGTGTCCGCTCTCATGATTTTTTGTTCAGCTGTCCTGGAGTTACTAGCTAGTGTAAACAGGTGAAAAATTGAAATAAAAGGCATGCAGATTGGAAAGGAAGATGTAGAATTGTCTTTATTTTCAGACTACATGATTTTGTATATACAAAATGCCACAAAACTTCTAAAGAAACTTCTAGAATTAACACATGACTTTAGCGAGGTTTCAGGACACAAGATCTTATCAAAAATGCCTTTCTTTATACCAGTGGTAAATAATCAAAAAGCACAATTAAAAATTGTTTTCACAATCCCATCATGAAGAATAGTACTTTGCAACATAGTAAACAAAGAAATGCAAGACCTATACATGGAAAACTATAAAATGTTGAGAGAAATTAAAGAAGATCTAGATCAATGGAAAACATTCCCTGATCGTGGAGGATTCAGTATGGTTAAGATAGAAATTCCTCCCACATTTATCAGCAGATGCAATGTAATTCCTAACAAAATCACTGCAGGATCTTTTGTAGAGATTTAACAGCCTGATCCTAAATTTACATGGGAATGCAAATGATTTTAATATTAAAACAATTTTGAAAAAGAAAGACACAGTTGGAAGACTTACACTGGCCAATTTTGAAAAATAGTATAAAGCTACAGTAATCAAGAGAGTATGGTATGAGCATGGGATAAGCATGCAGATTAAAAGAACAGAAGACCAAGTGCAGGTCTTAGGTCAGAGCTCAGCACCCACCTCTTCTCAGGAGACATAGTGCCCCCTAGCTGATAACTGCATTTTGTCTATTGCCTGTGCAAATAGATGGAGTCAAGGCTCCAGGTCTGGTCTAGTGTGCGTGTAGTCCAACATCTGTAATATTCCACGTATCTAAGCCAGAAGACACATCAATCTGCAAAAGAGCTGCCCGATGGTCAGGGTGGTCTCCAGAGAGATGCAGGGTTCAATGCAGGCAGTTGCTGGAGGGTTTTCTTGGCACTACAGTTTCTTTGCCTTATGTCTCAAATAGATTTAGTTACGATTCCATTGATTTAGAGATAGCATAGTGAAAATGATCAGTTCGGGTCCTTCTGTTTTCCCAAGATCAAAGTCATAGATTTTGGTCCTGAAGTTGTAGGAGGAGAGATTGGGCTTGGGAAAGGAAAGAGACTTTGAGATGCCATGTGTGAAGTAACTAGTTTTATGTGAGGAAGGAACCATTAGCCAGAGATGCAGACAGTTGTGGAGGAAGCCAGAGGAACGTTTTCTTGTTTCTTAGCTACTAAAGGCTCTCCTGCAGGTGGCTATAGGCAACTGTCAAGTAAAATGCCACTTATCTTGAAGGCCACAATGCTTGCAAGCCTCAGCTGGTCATCTGATTGCAGTTAGATGCTGAAGGGAAGTCGGCCCTGACTGTGGGCTGGGTAGAGACTGACCAAAGGATAGTTTCCCACCCAGATCATTGCTCAGACCCCACCGGCCCCACAGGGCCAAGGAGTCTAGGAAGACATGTGCTGGTTTCTGTAGTTTCAGATGAGGTTTGTGAAGGTGGGGCTCCCTCACCCTGGTGGCATCCTTTTGGGGCAGGCTAGAGGTGCCTGTGTAGCGATGTGTATTCACTGCTGGCACAGAGGTACCGAGATGTCTGCGAGGGGCTGGCCGACTGCAGTGTCAGCACAAAGTGGTCCTTCCTTGGTCTGGAGACGGTGGACCCAGAGGAGCGCTCTCCTTTCTCTGTGATGTTAACACCATATGAATAGTGGATCAGCTGTAGCTCCATTCCTGCATCTTGTTGATACCAGTACATACTCTCATGGCCCATGGTTTGAGAACATTCCAGAATAACCTTCTTTCCTCTTCCTGTAACACAGTATCTTGGGGTCTGAGAGACATCAGCATCCATGAAGCCTGAAAGAAAGAGACAAAAATTGGCCACAGAGTCCAGGATGGGCCTTGAGGCTGGTGTGAACCTGAGACAGGGAAAAGTATTCCTTCCTGACTTGAGAGAAATCTGTGGTGTGGCTGTGACCTACCTGACCCCAGAAGGTAAAGGGCCACATAGCAGGGGAGCCTGACAGCCATGGCACAGTTAGGTGTGAAGGTGCCTCCCAGTCCTGGGGAAGTGGGATGGGCTCTGGACCAAGTTACCATGTGACAACACAGTCCCTGCAAACATCCGGAGCCCCATAGCCATCCTGCTGACACAGCAGTGTCATCTCTACCCCCGTTCCATCAAAGGACTACATGCTTGTTCACTTCTCTCACCCAAAGTAGGCTAGCGACTTTGCCTATTTATCTTAACTCAAGTTCTACTCTTTTCTCAAAACAATAAATTGCAACTGTTTTGCAGACTGTAAAGGTCAGGGCCAGAGAGCTTCAAAGGCTGTCATAGGAGGATTTGACCTTATCAGGAAGGCTGGGAAAGGAAGTGATGTTTGAGGTGAGTCCTGAAGGATGCACTGGAATGAATTCTGGGAAGCTGAGAGAGAAGAACTTTCAGAAGAAGGGCCCAGTGGACATAGTGGCAGATGAGACAGGGCACAGGAAAGCATGTTGTGAGGATTAGAGGCAACCCATTTTGGTAACCCATTTTCTCAGTCTTATTTCTCACCGACTCAGTGCTCAGATTTTTATCAATTTTTCCAGCATAGGCTCCATGACATTAAGTCATCTTTATTTTAACTGTACCATCAATCATGCCAGAACAGAAAATTCAGATCCACAGCTCTTTCCAATACATGCTTTAGTGATATTGCCTGAAAGTTTTTGGGGCACTACTGCAGTAAACAACACCCAAACCAAGTACTATCCAGTCTCTTCTCTTTCCCCCTCGTCTTCTCAACAGAAAAGTCTTTAGCTTTGATGGTGAGTCATGAAAGTTAGTCTCAAGAGCCCTCCCCTTGGGCTGGGTCCCTCTGCCTTAGTTCGCTAGGATCCACAGTTGACAGTCAAGAAAACTCTTGCTTATACGCTGCTGACCTGAGGTTTGGGATTTTCATTATTACAGCTCTATTAATTGAGGATCACCTCTTCAGTCTTTCTGTATTTCATACGTAACACTGGCAGGCTCCTGCTCACTCTTGCCTTCTCATGTATCCCAAAGGAATATAACGAGTATGACTTACCAAACCCTGACTCCTTCTTGTCACATTAGGGGCTCCTTTAAAAGAAGCTTAATCATGAAAATCAAATGCCATTTGGCCTTTGTTTTAACTGTGAAAACGGGTCTAACCTTAACAGGCAGTGTCCAGGAAGAAGAATAAATAAACGAAGTTGTACTGCCCCCTGCTGGAAAAAAAAGGTGAAATGGGTGACTAGGCACTTAGAGATTTGGGTAGATTCTGATGAATTTTAAGATTTAAGGATGAGAAGATTTAAGGAAGAATGATGAGTTGAGAAGGTCCTCAGCAGTGACTAGATGTAAGACCCATTTCTACGGGAGAAGTGATTAGAGAAAAAGGGTTAGAACAGAAGGGGTAGATCTTGGGTTGGGAGTAGATGTGAGAGAGGCTCAGGTCCTGCTCCGACGAAGAGGTTCTTGCTGGCAGAGATAAACAACCTCCCTCTAGCTGCCCAGCACAGGAATAACTCAGGCATGGCGACGTTTCTGGTATCGCTAGAGAAGTCTCTGGAGCAGCTGCTGAGAATTTCTAAATGTCAACAATTAAGGATACAGGAATTGTCAAAGATAATTGTGACATATGTCTTTACACATTTTTGTCCAGTGAAACTCCCTCTCATTTTCCAGTGTTCTTAGTCTTCTTATAGAATTATGCATAACCAAACATACTATCCTCCCTTTAAAAGGACTAGTAGGTGGGGGTGTGGAGGACTTAAATATACATGCAGCAGAACAGTGAAATAAATGTTAGAACATTTGGAAGAAAATCCTGAAGAATGATGTGAAACATGTTCGAGTCTATTTCCTTTCCTCCCTCCCTCCCTTCTATTTTTCCTTTGCTAAGTCAGACATCAGGTTCAGTTCTAAGGTATAAAATTGGGGGGACATCCCTTAAAGTAAAGAATATATAGTCTAGGGAAGAGACATATGAATGACATGGAATGAGAGATTCTAATAACTGTAATAGTTTTGGAAGTAGTAAGAGCTGAGCCTTGGAGTAGAGGAATTGGCCGTATTTTTAGACAGAGACTTGTTCATGAAGCACTTTGAGTGCCACGTGAAGATTATCAGACAGTCAGGCTGCTGGCAATGTCTAAGACAGGGCAAGGCCTGTGAAGTAAGAGGCTGATGGACGGAGAAGGCATTGCCCTTTTCCTAGGGAACGGATGCCGAGCGCCTGCTCTGAAGTAGATGCAGGGAGTGAGGAAGGGGGCGGCCGAGGCAGGTAAATGAGCACAGCAGCAACTGTGAGGTGTCCCTGCCTCCCCTTTAGGCATGAAGGACATTTGCCCCACCCTGCCAGGAGTGCTGCGGGCTGACACCCCTCTTTGCGAATTACTTGGCTAAGGAGACTCTTCTTCCCCCAACAAGGGTGTGCTTCTCAGGGCAACCCGTGACCAATGACATGGGTGCGCAGACAGCGGGCCTAAGACCAGCCTGCTGCCCTCGACTCCGGGTGAGGGCAGAGCTCCCTGCGGGTCAGCTGCAGCCTCCACGGGGGCACGGCCCAGCCTCTCTGCCTCGTCCTACTCTCTCTTTCCCCTTCTTCCAAGTTGATAGCAAGAGCATCTTCTAATGATATCCCAGGGACACTAATCTCCCTGGCAGTCTGTTTTCTAGAAAACCACACCTATGGCAGGGTGGGATGTCGAAGTAATAGATTTGTAAATGGATGTAATGGGAAGGCGCATGGAAAAGAGGAAATGGAATGATCTTCCCAGTCACTGAGACAGAAATACAGTCTTTGGACCAGAATGGGTGCAGGTAGGAGGGGGGAACAGTTAACTCAGTCACAAATTACGTGAGTTTGAATTGTGGAGTATCCAGCCAGAAGAGAATTTATCAGTTAGGAACTTATGAAAGAAATGGTCATGATCGTGGATGGGAAGGTTAAGGAAGAATATTTAAACTCAAGGAAAAGGAGGCAGAAGAAAAACCTAGGGAAATGTACTAGAAATGTCCACTAAACAATTGAATGGAACAGCTAATAACTGGTAAGAGAAGAACTGTTATTACAGATGAGCCTTTGATGATAGTAAAAAAGCACAGAAAATTCCTTGGCATAGAAAGCAGGGAATTCAACTCTATAGAAAAACGATTTTTTAAAGGAAAAGCAGATGAGATACAACTCTTAAATGAGACTAAAAAAATTTTAAAGTATGACATTTTTTTCAGATTAGTAGAAAAGTAAGTAAGTTGGGTTCTTTGTGTCTGAACTATCACCGAGTCATGGACTCCCTCATTGACATATTGGAGGCTTATGGGATGAGAGACAGAGGAGCTGGGGAAGGCTTGGCCTTGGACCCCAGGCAGACTTCGTGTCATGCTGTGGCAGCCCTTGGTCACATATTTTTGCGCTTAGAGTTCACGGGTTCTTAGGAGGGTCCCCTTACAGGGGAGCCAGCGGTTTATTCCAATGTCTTGTGAGAAAGGGGAATCTCCAAGCTCTCAGACTTGGTTCCATGATAGCAGGCAGGTAAATGTTTTGAAATTTAGTCCATTCTGATAACGAGATTCTTAACCTGTCTGCTCCTGCAGGTTAAGATCAATCTCAGTAGAGATTGAATTGTGAGGCAGTAGATGAAAGATAAAGATAAGTTTTACAGATAGCAGCCTCTGAACTTCCGCTTCTGAGTTAGATTTAAGGACAATTACATTTACTTAGAAGGAAGTTTCAGAAAACCAGATGGCCAGTTTGCTCTCGGCATAGAGGCGGCCAAGTACAGAGCTGAACAGCGGCTCAAGCCTGGGAAAGAGGGCCTGGGAAGGGCTGGCAGGAGGAGCACAATGGAGAAGGCATGTCGCAAAGTGGGTGGAGCTGAGGCAAAAAGACCTTGGAACACCACACCGCGAGCTCCTGAGGGACACTCCAACTGAGAACCCTAACAGTGTCTCCCAGTGCTCAGACTCGCTCTCCTAGAGGAACACTACTGGGCTAGCTCCACTGGAATGGATAAAGACGGTCAGCAGGCAGGGAGGGTAGGTTCAGTGTAGCCTGTGATTTGTGTCATCACGTAGCCTGGGGACATTGCCCTCAGGTGGCCTTAAGCTCAGACGGAGGCTCACACAGCATAAACTCCTCCGACCTCTAAGGATGCCCACACCCTGCATCTAGGAAGCCTTCCATGCCCTCCTGAGGAAACGTGCCTGTCTTTCTGTGGTGAGAGCAGGTGGCCAAGAACCACTGTGCAATTTACTGCTGGCACAGAAGTAAAGCGCTGTCTGGTTGGGGGTGGGAGTCTCCAGGCGCAGGGAGAATTTTGCCTGCTCCCGCCGGGAGACGCTATACCCACTGGAGACCTCTCCTCTGTTGGTATAGTTGACATCCAAGGAGTAGTAGACCAGCCGGAGCCCGTGCCCTGGGTCCTCTCGATACCAGAACATAGCATCATGACGCTTAGTCTGAGAACATTCCAGCAAAACGCTCATTCCTGTCTTTGTGATTCTGTTCCTTGGGGTCTGGGTCACACCAGAATCCATGGAGCCTGTGAAGAAACGAGAAGAAATAGGACAGAAACTGGAAATGACACTCTTGCCACAGTCTCAAGGGACAGTCGCAAGGACAAGCAGGACACGGACAATTTAAGGCAGGGATTCCTCATGTTTCCCAAACTCACCTGTTCCCAAGAGACCAAAGGCCACACAGCAGAGGAGCACGGAGCCCATGGCAGGGAGAGGCAGGGTGCAGGTGTTCCCGGCTCTGGGCATTGGTGGAAACAAAGCGTGGAGGTAGGAAATTGGAAGGACTGGGGCAGGATGGGGTTGCCCCTCCCAGCTCAGCAGGTGTGCAGCCACAACACTTTCCCCAGGGCCTCACGTCCTGTCAGAGGACCGCACTGGCCCCCCTCTTCCTCTCTTCCTGGCCCTTCCGGAGAGCAGCGTCCTTCCAGGGTGCCCTGTCCTCCCAGCTGAATAGGTTACGGGGAAATGAGTCTCACTGGAAGATTGTGACACAGTAACAATCTCTTTGTTCTGCGCTTATTTGTCTTTTTCTAACTCAGGTCTGGGCAAGCTATGAATTGGAATATACTCACCCTGAAGTTTACGAGTTTTGTTTCTTCTTTCAAGGGGCCCAGCCCTACCTTGCTCCACACGGCTGCTGTCCTTCCATGGCAGCTGCTTTTCTGCGCACAGATCGTAACTGAAAATACAGGCCTCCTGGAGGGAGATCTTGAGGTGGGCATGGGTCTCAAAGAAATACTTAACACCTTCACACATATTTTGAATTAACTGAAAACACTTCATTACAGAGGCCATTCTAGCATCACTCAAATTCTTCCTGGTTTTAGAACAGAAGTGTGCAATATTTTAGTGCAACAAATTACAAAGCCAGCACAGCTACAACGATAGTGTGAAGGCCGGTCTGATGTGATAAACGACGGTAGTGTGAAGGCCTGTCTGATGTGATGAGCTGATGCCCTTTGGGGCTCTGGGTCTGTGCTGATTCAGGCTCCGCCTCTTCCACAATACACCATGGCATCCTACACTCATCAGTCCTGCTGTGGTTCACGTTGGGAAAATTTTCCTTTTAATATTTTTTCTTTTGATTAGGAAAATTTCTAACATATGCAAAGTAGATGTAGTAATATAATGAGCCTCTAGGTCCCCCAGACCTGGCTTCAATTGTCCCATGCTCCTTTCACAGCCGGTGAATACATCCTACGTGACAAGTTCCGAGGTTCTTGCCCTTCTCTTTCTGGGTAGAGTTCTCCATTAATAATCCCAACAGAAATGTGGATTTATCCTAGTGAACTGCTTCTCCAGGAGCTCGATTAATGCAAATAGGGTAATTACAATGAAGATGATCATTTTGGGTTTGTTTTCAATGGGAAAAATATCGTTGCCCTAATTCTTAAAGTAAATGTGCTGTTTTGCTGCCCCCTGCTGCAGGCAGCGATTTAGTGACAAACTGGGAGCTGAGTATAAACTATTATTACCCAGGGTCACATCAGTTTAGAGGACATAAGACCCAGGTCAGGGGAGTCCTAAAGGAGAAGTTTGTAGATGCCTGGCAGGGAGAGAGGCAGAAATTGTTCTGGGAGCAGAATCTGCACCACAGGAGGAGTAAGAGACCATTATCAGAGGAGACACATACTTGGATGAGAATGGAATTCAAGAAGATCCCCGTATTTCTGGACAACTGAGAGGTTCCTTGATGGCACAGACCAAGACTCCCCCTGCTCGGGGCTGGCTCACGCAGCTGCAGTGCTCACAGCTGACGGACAGCTCACCCTTCCTCTGACCCCTGCTCCGGCATGGACAGAGCACAGAGCCCTCAGTCTCACTCACAGACCCTGCTCTTTGCCAACTGAGTGCTGTGTGTTCATGGATGTGATCCTAGGGATGCTGAAAACTCATTTGGAATTATTGATCTGTGTAATACACATCCTCTGGCACAAAAGGTGCCAGAGGAGAAATGATTTTTTTATTACTGCTGAGTGCTTTCTCTGTCATAATATACTTTGCCTACCTTCAACTCAAAAAGATGTTTTCCTCCAGATTTATGGTTTTAGCCTTTACACTTGGATTTATGATCCATCTCAAGTTGATTTTATTTATGGCATGAGGTTATCCGCAACGTTTTTATGTTTCTCTTTTTTTCCCAGAGACTGAAATTCTGTGTAGTGCACGTGGAAGTCCCTCAGTCCTTTTATGTCTCGGTGAATGGGAGGTGCTTTGCAAGCGCTGGTGGGATTGAAGTGGATCAGTGTCAACTCAGGAGCTCAATGAAGTTGGTGATTGCTCTGGATGAAATTTGGCCCTAACATAGATAATATGAGCCCAGATTAAGCCTTTAAGAAAAATGTGTGGATTTTTACTGTCCCATGTTGTAACCAGACAGCAGAACTCAGTTAGGAAAAAGGGGGAAAAATTAATGTGAATCATGTTTACTCCAGGGAGCAAAAAGCACAGCTGAGTGGAGGGAAGCGACTTCTCAGCATTTCCAGATGAAAGGAGGTTGTTGACGGATGGTAAGTAGGTTTGGGGAGGCTGCAATGGTTGGCAACTTTTCTATGATAAACAGAAAGATGTAAGTAATAATGGGGAGATAGTACTCTGGATGCCCAGGGGATGGGAAATGGGAGAAATGGGATGTAAATCCTCTACTGGGGTAAAATGCACCTGCTCAAGAAGAGCGACCTCTCCTGCCTCCCACCCCCATCCCTACCCCGCACACACCTACTGGTTCTTTGTGGTCTGGGATGGGCATGCTGCTTGGTGGGAGGTGGTATGTCAATGTCTAAAAAAAGGGACTAAACATCTAGTAGTATATCTAAGGAACTCACACCAATCAATGGGAAAACTAGAGAACTCCTATTAGAGAAATGGCCTACGGGCATGCATAGGCCATTTTGAGAACAGAAATCCCAGACCCACACTAAGGAAGAAGTGCTCGGACTCATTAGCCGTCCAAAACGTGCAAAGAAGAGGGAGAGAGGGAGAGGGCATTATTCAGATTTCTGCATTGTTTCCAGTTAGTTCTCTCTTCCTATTAAATTATTGGTTTTATTTATTTTTCTTAAATTGTTGTCTGCATCTTAGTGGTAAACATAAAGTTAACCACATATTCTAGGAAGGGGATGGAAGAGAGAGATTGGGATCTCTTTACATTGTCAGATGGGCAACAGTCTTGAAAACTGGATAATGCCACAAGAGGACAGGGGGATATGGAAAGCTGTGTGCACTTCTAAGCAAGATTTTAGACTCACACAGCCCTCTGGTGGTATTTAGGTACATTAAATAAAGACGTACAGCACTCTACATCTCAGCAATCATGATTCTAGTATATAACCCTATAGAATCTCAGGGATATGAAAGGGATATGCAAGCATATTCAGTGCCAGCACCAAACTGGAGGTAAATTTGGTGTCTATTCCTGGAGAAGTGGGCATGGAGTACTGTGGATCATTTGAGCAAAAGACTAGAAGATGCACACACAGAAAAACAAAGCATTTCACTCACTTGAGCTGAGTGGAAAAATCTAAGACCCAGAATGGCATGCATAATAAAGTTAGATTTACATGATTTTAAATACATAATACACGCCAAGGGTTGAATGCTCCAGGAGAAAGTTCATGGCTGGGTCACAACCAGTCTGTTGTTTCCCCTGGGATTTTAAACCCAGCCAATAAAGAGCTGAGCTGGTCTTTATTGGTGCAGTGGGATGATGACAACTGAATTTTTGACCCTTCGTGACCATTGTCACTTTGAGGACTGGAGGGAAGGAGAAAGAATACAAGGAGAGGATAACATGAAGCAGACAAAATAAGAGAAGGAAAATGAGAGCTGGAGAGGCAGTCATTCCAGACCGTGACACAAGTGGCGTTTTCTCAGAGACACTCAGCGATGTCCCCCCATCCCTCCTTGACTGCTGTTAGACCCCGGTTAGCCATACAGCAACGTCCACCGTGGTTTAAGCTGGCTCCAGCTAATTTCTGTTACTTCCTTCCTACCTGACTTCCTGCATCACCTGCTTCCTGACTTGGGTCCAGGACGAGTTTGTGCACCAAGAGGCGCGGACATTTCAACACTGTGGATCAGCTGCTGGCACAGAAATACAGGGCTGAGTCTTCTGGTTCAGAGGATCGGATTTCCAGGCTGCACGGTGAGTTTGAGGGGCATTTAGCTGAGAATCTCTTTTTGACCAACTCAATTTGATCAATAATTTGTTCATTCTGAAAATTAATCAGAAACTTGAACTCTTTTTTCTGGATCTGTTGATACCAGTAAACAACAGTATGTTCTTTTGGGGGGATACAGTCCATCCTTGCTTTCTGTCCTTTGCTTTTGACCAGATGTCTTGGAGTCTGGGTGACTCTGGCATCAATAAAGCCTGGAAGAGGGGGACACAGAGCAATAGACAGAGCCTGGGAGGAACTCTGATGGGGGAGAGGCTGTGGCTGGGTGTCGGTAAGCCCAGAACAAGATTTTTCTTTATGCTCAGGACTTACCTGCGCCCAAGAGACCAACTGCTACACAGCACAGGAGCCTGGAGCCCATGGTGGCATCCAAGTAGCAAAAGGAAGAGGCTTTTCACGCCCATCAGCGACCTTCCTGTGACGTGGTTGCGTTGCACGCTGATGATAGTCCTTCACGTTCTGGGCCCAGGCTCCCCACGCTCTCAGAAGGAAAGCTTTTATCCTCACTCAGAGCATACAGCTTGTTTATATTGTATTCATTTACAAGTATTCACTTTAAATGAGTTTGTTTTTTTACTAACAGAAACTATAGATACATATTTTAGAGAGTTAGAAAATAAATATAAAATAAAACACCATATCACTGTCAAAGCGAATTTTAATTACATTCTTTCCAGACAAGTCAAAGCTCTGTCTCTAAACTCCTTTGTTTTTATATTCTCTACCTTGATCACTCCCCAAACAGCCTTAATACTCTGTTTCGTGTCCTTTTATTCCTTAAAGAATCAGAATGCTGCAGTCTGTATTTCTAAGCATTTTATTTCTGGTATCTGAATCTATATTTTGGGCAGAATGTCTCATCCACAGTTTAATCCTTTGTAGCCGTAGTCCAGTTCTACTGCATCTCAGTTTCATGTCTGGATATACTGTATAAAATGGCCTGCCTCCAGTTTGCATCTGGTGGTCCCATAGACAATTCAAACCCTACCATCCCAGATGGCAATTGTTACTGCTAACAAGATGCCGTATTATTTGAAGCTGTGGCCTTTGTGAGGCACCAAAGTCATATAGAGGCAACTGACAAACTGTATCAATCACCTGTGTGCTCACGACAACCAAATATTTCCTCAAGCTTCAGGTCTCTCATTTTACAACAGCCTCAAAGGAATTTCCATACCTACTTCCATGAAATCAGAAACTCTACTACTTAGAAACTCCATTCTATTGATTCTCTCAAATTTGTTCAATTGGATTTAATTCCTAACAGTTGATCATCTTCCTTCTCTTCATTAATTTTCCCCAAAGTGTCATTCCCTTTAATATGCCTTTGCAGAAGTTGTCCTGTTGGTCCAGAGGGCTCCACCCACAATGTGTCTGGTGAAGCTCAGATGTAACCTTCTCTTAGCTTTTCTTAGCAATGTGGGTAGAACTCTGAGAAAGAATGCTTGCTGTCAGGTCACCTCCAGTGATTAGGGCGAGGCTGGCTTCAGGGTCTCCAGCATATCTGCAAAGCTGATGATCTCATTCGTCACACATCACTCATCTTAACCTTGTTGGTGCCATGGAACTCTCTGGCAATCTGTAAATCTGAAGGACGTTCATATAGCGTCAGAAATAGTTGGCCTACATGTGCAATCTCAGATTTGTCAAAGGTGTCCTGATTTAAAAAAAAAAATTTAAACTACTCCTTCAGACTGCTTTACAGACCTAGTTATGCCAGTAGCAGGTATTTAACTATAGTTGTATTCCAGTCCTGGGAACGTGATACAATATCTATTATCTATTTTCCTATATCCCATCTTCATGAACAGTTGCCTCTGTCATCATCATCATCCCCATTATCATGATATATATATATGATTCCTGAGGGGCGATACAGGAATTGAAAAGGACAGGGACAGTATGATAGAGATATACTTTCTTGCATGACAGAGTGAAGCCTTATGCTAAGGAACCCTGTAATTAGAAATGATATTCCCAAATGGAACAGCAAAAAGATCTACACAGTATGTAATTTAAAATAATCCCTTACAATAGTGTGGGTTACTAATTCTGAGACACTTCAGATCCCAGTGATGGATAAGATATGCACTATTCTTGTTGACAGAATTTTAGACAATTCTAGAAGATTCAAGATCCTTGTTGCATTCATTGTTACATAGTGTCATGTTTCAGAGGTAGCTCAGAAGGAGTAAATAATGAAAAAAGTTATATTGTTAAACACCTTTTCCCTTATTGCAAAAGATTCCATAGTCTGCTACCATTCCATGTCTCTAAGGCAGTAATTCTTCATCTGAAATACTGGTTATTTTCTAAAGAAACACTGAACTATAAACCAAGGATATAATAAAAATTGTTACCTACAAGGCAAGAGAGGAAATAGGATTGAGACAAGAGAAAATAAGAGCAAGATGAAGCATTTTCACTCAAATATGTTGCTCAGTATACTAAAAGTAAGCTGCCTAAAGAATCCAATCAAAATAAAGTGATTGCCAATCGGGATCCTGAGAGCTGAGGCACATTGAATTAGTTTGGCAGGAGGATGAGGAGAGACATGACTGTGTTGTAGGACCACAGGCCTGAGGAGTGGCCCACGGAGGAGCAGGGGGAGAATTCACAGACTGGATCAGAGCTGCAACCCCAAGTTCTTCCCAAATCACAGGCCTGGTGTCAGATACTCCCTTTAGTTATCCATAACTCACGGTGTATTTCCATAAGCAAAGTATGCCTCTTCGCCAAGTGCACTTTGCAGAAACTTCATGAGTGTTTTGATATGTTTGAATTAGTACATTTTCCCTGGAAGCAGAGCAATGCTGACAGTTGGTTCACGTAGGAACTGAGGCTGACATGAGCTGACACGTTATTGCTGGTGAACAGGAACTTCTAGAGAGGGCATTTTTATGTGATGTACTGAGCCTGAGCCATCAGTTAAGAAATGTAAAGACTCACTTGTGTCGGGCTACTGTGAAATCTTGGCAGAAAATATTTTGATAGAGTCTTTATGATTATTAAAAAGTACATTCATAATACAGTTCTTAAATTTACAAAAAATTCAACAGAATATATGCAAAACATGTACAATAACTATGAAGCAATGCTGGGAGAAATTAGCAAAGACCTCAGTAAAGGAGAAGGAGCGTGGGGGAACTTCCTGGGGAGACAGAACTGTTTTGTATCTTGATTGTGAGGCTGGTTATATGGTGTCAACATTTGTCCAAACATATTAAACTATATACTTAAAATGGTTGCCTCTTATTGTATGCATAGTATTCCAGAGGGAGGGCACTGCTGAGCTTCCCGGCTCAGTTTCTTTGCCAGGACAGCTGTGTGAAGCAGTGCTGGAGTCCTTGATCAGTCCTGGGTCTCAGTCAATGAAAGGTGCCCAGTCAGCGGTGAGGGTCCGTGAAAGTCAGTGGACCTGCCCTGTTTTCCTTATTCCTGAAGGCACAGCTTTGCCGGGTGATGAGCACAGAATTACGTGTTTTTATTAAGGTTGTTAAAAATCCATCACTCTCATGAAAAAAGAAAAGGTATCCTGGGTCTTTCTTTTGCCAGATATCCTACCAACCAGGGAACCCGAGGCCCTAGGGTGCCTCCCTTCCTGTTCCTTGGCTTTCCGTCCCCGTCAGCTGCTTTAAACATCCCTTCCTGCTCACCTAGAGTGGCCATTTACAAAGTTTTCCTTCTGGTGTTTGCTCCTTCAAGTTGGGTTTCTGTTCGTTCCTACCACCTAACATACCACTTATTTCCTGAGCTGGGCCCAAGATGAGTTTGTGTTCTAAGAAAAGCTACCGTTCAGCACTGTGGATTAGCTGCTGGCACAGAAATACACTGCGGAGTGCCCTGGCTCGGTGGAATTGACTTCCAGGCTGCATGGTTGGTCTGTGGGACATTGAGCTGAATATTGCTGATCAAACACTTCTGTTTTATCAACAATATCCTTATTCTGTAAGTAAACCAAAAACTGGAGCTCTTCTCCCAGCTTCTGATGATACCAATAAACATAACTATGTCCTTTTATAGGGACACAATCCATCTTTGCTGTCTGTCCTTTGCCTTTGAGCAGGTGTCTAGGGTTCTGGGTGACCTCAGTGTCCATTGAGCCTGTAGAGGAAAGAGACAGAAACTGGAGAAAAAGCCCAGGAGGGAGCCTGATGTTGCAGCCTCAGGAGAAAAGTCCTGACTTGGAATCTGCCAAGTTCACAGCAGGAACCTACCGGCTCGCCAGAGAAGGGCGACACAGCAGAGAAGCCTGAAGCTCATGGTTGGTGCAGCGAAAAAGCAGTGGCAGGCGGTCTTTTCTCTACAATGACCTCATCCCTCATCAGCAGCCTCCCTGTGACACGGCCACTTGCCAGAGTCCTCGGAGCCACCGTGTGCATGAAACTGAAACGTTTTTTAGGGTGTGGGAGGGCAGGGAGAGCTGGTGAAAACAGAGTGTGAGTTTCAGTCTGCCTTTATTTTCTTGCTCCCTGACTTGGCTCTTTCACTATTTTTTTTTTTTTATAAAATCACTTACACATTGCTTGTTTATTTGTTTAACTTCTCAATTTGCCCCCTCCCCTCCTCCTGCCCATCTCAGGCAATGAATCACAGGGCTTGGTGTGTATCTGTCATAGATCTACCGCCCTTATGAAATCACACAGCAGCTATTTCACATTAAAAATAAATGCTGAACTATACAAAACAATATGACAAATACGTGATGCATCTCGGGAAACGATGAAATGCACACTCTTGCCTGAACCAATCCGGGGGTGGATTATCATGAGAATTTTTAAGCCTGTGCATTATTCTTTCAGATTCCATTGTTCTTTCTTTGCCAAACCCAGGTAATCAAAACACTGAGGTTCATATTTTATTTATTTACTTTTCACTATAGCTTTTAGCATTTATGTAAGAATCTGCAAGGTATATATTATTTAACATTGCATGTCTTTGAAATTTATCTTAGGGGATCACGTTCATTTTTTTTTCCTGTGGCATGTTCTTTTTTCATTCAACATTACATCTGTGATATTAATCCACATTGATACATACCATCTTATATAATTCATTTTTACATAGCATTCCATTCTAGTCATTCCCTAGAATTTGTTATCCATTCTTGAATTAGCCCTATTTTTTCCCTGTATATTTTCATGCTATGACAAACAGTACAGCTTTCTTGTACATTTCTCTGCCTATCTAGTGCAAGATTTTCTCGATACCTGGGAATGTAAAGACCGAGCCTTAGGGTCTCCATGCCAACTTTACACAGTACGACAAAATGTTTTCCAAATTAGCTGAGCAAAATAAATAGTCCCATCAACAGCTGATGAGTGTTTTCAAATGCTCCACATCTAGGACTCAAATAGTATTTAATATCCTTTAATTTTGCCAGTCAGTTAGGTTAAAACTGTGTCTCACTATAGTTTTAGTTTGCATTTTTCTGATTGCTAAGGAAGTTGAACATATCTTTTTATATTTATAGACCAATAGTGTTTTCTGTAAACTGCCGTTAGCCCATATTTCTTTTTAGTTAATAAGCTATTATTTATTTGTAACAGTTCTTTATATATTCTAGAAACCAAACCTTTGTCAGTGGCACATTGCTAATATCTTTCCAATTTGTAGCTTTGTATTTTCATTCTCTTTGTGATTTTGTTGTTGTTGAATTTCTTAATTTAGTAGAGCGTGCCATTCTTTTCTTTGGATATGCATTTTAAAATTCTTTATTAAAAATGCTCTCATAGCCCAAGTTTATAAAGATAGACTACCACATTATTTACCAAAACAACAAACATTTTGAATTTTATATTTAAGCATTTAATCCATTCAGAATTTATTTTTGTTTATGCTGTGAGGAAGGGCTTAAATTCATCTTTCCTTCAATGGATAACCACTTATACCAGAATTAACTTATTATATATTATATCATCTCCCTATATACCTGTAATGATGGCTCTGTTATATGTTATATATTAAGTTCCTATACATGTATGGGCCTATATTTAATCTTATTATTCTATAGCTGTTTATTTATTTATGCCTTTTTTATTATCCTAAATTATAAAATAATTTGATGTTTGGCAGGGCAAGTCACCTCACTTTATACTTCTTCAATATTACCTTGTCTGTTTTTCTCTCTTTTTCAGTTAAATTTCAGATTGCTTTTGTCAAATTTCATGAACATATATTTTTGTGATTTTGATTAGTGCTGCATTGAACACACAGATGATACTGCAGAAATTAGAATGCTCTTACTATTGGGTTTACTTATTATTTTCATGGTATATATATTCATTTATTTCAGATTTTTTAAATGTCTTCGTCTAAAATTTTAATTTTCTGCATTGAGGTATTGCTTATCTTTGAACAAATCCATTCTCAGGTGTTTTCTATTTTCTATTACTATTTGTAAGTCAGCTCTGTCTTTTAAAAAATATACTTTTTAACTATTGCTAGTATATGGAAATAAAATTGACTTTTTACATTTATGTTGAATTCAGTAAATGCATTAAATTTTGTTACTAATGAGGCAATGCTTCTTTTGATTCCTTTGGGTCTTCTTCTCAACTTCTCATCTGTCAATAATCATATTTTTCCCCTTCTTCTCTCATTCTTACCCTTTTTTCTTGTTCCACTGGCTGGAATTTCAGCATGAGGTTGAACTGAGATGTGATGGCAGTTATCTGCTTACTTACCGACTGTGCATGAATCAGACAACTACAGGTACTGGACACTCCAGGTAGTAGTAAATGCTGTGAGGGTTACAAAGTTGTAAGACTAGATTCTGCTATTTCAAAGACCTATTAGCATCTCAGGATATCTGCAAATCCTTCTCCTAACCAGTACCTAAAGTGTCTCGCCTGCAGGCCCTGAAGTTGCCCCACAACCTCTTTGAAATAAGGAAGCCCTGTGCCTGCTCCTAAGACGCCAGAGGAATTTTCCAGAAAGACCCACATCGCCGCCTAGTGGCTAACGGGGGCAAATTCCTCAGAGGCTCTCTGATACTCGCCTGCGGTCATGGGGCTGTCAGGCTGCAGTCAGGCATCTACAGCATCACAGCGGAACCAGGACCCAGCCGGTTGTGTAGAACCCTGCCTGCACCCTGCATAGAATTGTTACTAGTAACTGGTACACAGTTAGTATAATTGGCCTTCCCAACCTTTTCTCCTCACCGGTCAAGGTGAGTGTGCAAGACTGAGGACTTAAACCTCAATGCTCAGCTCTCTGCTCTTTCCTTTGTATAGTCTATCATCCGTGGGTCCCTTGCACTTTCACTATTACAGTTACACGAGCTGTCCCAATTCTTCCTCATCCAGATCCATTTGCTGAGTCTATGACTTGTACATACCACTGCTTTCTGCATGTTTCCAGTTAGATTTCTGTCTCAAAGTGTAGAGAAAATGAAAGTTCCTACGGCCAGTATTCTCACCTGGCCCTGGTCAGCTTGCTCACTGCTCACGTGCGGGCAATACGTTGTTACTGACTCTAGATAAGGAGCTCCACCCAGTGCTCTGGGCTGCACGGCTGCCGGAGAGCAGAGGCTGGAGTCGGGGTAGCTCTGAGGACAGAGACTGAGACGGCTGCAGGGCAGAGAGGCCCAGAGGCAGAGGCCGGCTTGCTGCCTGCAGACCGGCTCTGAGTGCACCCGATTCTAGCATTTGCCACCGTGGGAATAAAGTTGGGTACAAATCCTTTCACTCCACTAACATTCCATTGCCATTTCCGGCCTCACGGAATCAAGAGTGAACTTGCCCAGGGCTGAAGGCCACTGACGAGACACAAAGACACCCTCGGTCTCAAGTAAGTCGTGACCGGCCCCCCTACATGGTGCTCTGCATCCATCTGGCGGTGGTGGTCATCTTTACCCCCCCCTGTCTGTTATCTAATCAGTCCCGCGGCCATGGCTTTTACTTTCTAAACATCTTTTGAATCTCTCATTTCCTTGTGTTTCTATCAGCACTGCTGTCATCCCAGCTACACAACTGCCTCCCTGGGCCACTGCATTGCCTACCTCTTTTCTCTACCTCAGTTCTTTTCACACTTCTCTTATTTTTTTTCACACTGCAGCCAGGGTGATTTAAAAAAATGTGTGCATTCACACACACACACACACACACACAGCACCAACTGGATTACTGCAGAAGTCCAGTGCTTCAAACCTCAGTGGCAGGGCAAGGGGTATATGAAAACGCTCAGTACCTTCTGCTCTTGCTGTGATCCTAAAATTGATCTAAAAAATATTTTTAAAAACCTCAATGACTCCCATTACATTTATGTTAAATCCCATTATCAGATACTTTGGTTTTTAAAGTCAGGAGTGGTCTGATGTCTGCCTGCCTGTCTCCACTCTCACCTTGTACTCGCCCCTGCCCCCCTCTTTGTCCCGCCACATTATTACATCTTGCCGTTCATTAAACACCAGTTTCTTTCCTGCTTGAAAACAATTACTCTAGGTCTTCCGTCCCTGCTTGTCAGTTCATTGTTCCCAGTCCCACTTAGCGCCAGCCCATCTTCAGGGTGTCATCTTAAACACGACTTCCTCAAGGAACCTGCTCTGTGATTCTATTAGGTTCCCTGTGTCAGAAGCAGGGTTCACACAATATCCTGCCTAAGACAAGGGCACAGACACCACATCTCACAGATTGTTTTCCCCGCGAATTTGACACCTTTACAGAGACCTACAGAGGGAAGGTAGTGGTTGTTGAGGCTTTTCGTGACCATGTTTCAGAAAGAAGATGTAAGTGCTCCCATTTCTTCAGAACATGGGACCGGGATTTCTGTCCTTACCAAACTGCAGTTGATGATCTCTCTTCTCCTCCCTCTGAGCTCATCCAGTGTCCATGCAACCAATTCCTTTGACCATGTAAGTTAGTGTTTTAAGGGGCCTTTTCTTCCTGTATCAGATTTACCTTCCTTTTATTTATTTTTAACAGCTTTATTGAGGTATAACTGATGTGCAAAATACTGCCCATATTTAATGTATACACTGTCATGTGTTTGGAGCTTTGCATACACCCAGGCAACCATCATCACCATCAAAGGAATAGTCATATCTGTCACCTCCCAAAGTTTCCTTGTGTCCCTTTTGTTTTGTGTGTGATAAAAACACTTAAGGTGAGATGTACTCTCTTAACAAATGCTTAAATGCATAATACAGTGTTATTAACTATGGACACTATGTTGTGCTTGTATGCCCTACAGCAGATTGCTAAAAAGTATTCATATTGCATAACTGAAACTTTATATAAATTCAACAACTCTCCATTTTCCTCTTCCCACAGACCTTGGCAACCACCTTTCTACTTTCAGCTTCTATGAGTTGGACTATTAGGTGTTTCATATAAGTAGAATCATACAGTATCTGCCTTTCTGTGACTGGCTTATTTCACTTGGCATATCCTTCAGATTCAGTCTTGTTGTTGTATATGGCAAGATTTCCTTCTTTTTTTAGGGCAGAGTAATATTCTACTATATATGTATATAACACATTAAAAAAATCTATTTGTTGATGGACATTTAGCTTGTTTCCATGTCTTGGCTGTTGTGAATAATACTGCGGTGAACATGGGAGGGCAGATTCTCTCTGAGATCCTGATTTCAATTCTTTTAGATCTATGCCCAGAACTGGGGTTGCTGGATTTTATTTATTTATTTTTTTGAGGAACTCATTACTGTTTTCCAGAGCAGCTGTACCATTTTTTATTCCCATCAATAGTGTACAAGGATCATGATTTCTTCACATCCTTACCAAGACTTATCTTTTGTTTTTACTTTGATAACAGCCATGCTGACAGGTACAAGGTGGTACCTCAATTTGGTTTTGATTTGTATTTCTCTGATGCCTAGTGACATTAAGTATTTTTTCATATACTTGTTGTCCCATCTGCATGTCTTCTTTGGAGAAACATTTATTCAAATCATTTGCCAAATTTTTAATCAGGCTACTTTTTTTTGCTATTGAGTTGTAGGAGTTTCTTATATACACATATTTGGATATTAACACCTTATTTGATATATGGTTTGCAAATATTTTCTATAATTCTATACAAAGCTGCAGTAATTGAAAGAGTATCATACTGGCATAAAAACAGGCATATATACCAATGGAACAGAATAGAGAGTCCAGAAATAAACCCATGCATATATGGTCAACTAATCTTTGGCAGGGGTGCCACAATGGGAAAGGATAGTTTCTTCAACAAACAGTGTTGGGGAAACCAGATATCCAAAAGCAAAGAATGAAAGAAACCCTTCCTTACACCATATACAAAAATAAACACAAAATGGTTCACGTCTTAACAGAAGACCTCAAACTGTAAAACTTCTAGAAGAAAACTAGAGGAAAAGCTTCTTGACATTGGTCTTGGCCCTGTTTGCTTGGATATCACCCTAAAAACACCGACAACCAACGCAAAAAGAGGTAAATGGGACCATATCCAAATAAATGTTTGCTTTCATGTTAGACAATATATTGGAAGTTCTAGACTACCAAGAAACTTAAAACCATCTAAGAGATTTTCTACTGGCCTTTCAATTTCCACCCAAGACATCATAAGATAACTTTCACTTATTGTCTCCCCTGGTTTCCACCCCCTGCTGGTAAGAGGGAACCTTTCAAAAATCTGAGCTATCTCTACCCCTGCCCCTTTGGGGAGAGTGGATCTAGAGGCTTAACACACAACCAAGCAACTGCTTCAAAGATAGATATTATTTTCATCATTTCTATGAACATTCCTGGGGTGGGAAAAAAATGACAAATATCTATTCATAAGTCTATTGATTATTTGAGGTAGGTTTATTTTATAAGACTCTGTTATTTCATAAGGACTACAAATAAGCTCCTCAAAAATAATTTAGACTAAGATCTTAAAACAATCTTCTTAAAACTTTTTGGTGCTATATTTTGTTATAAGCAGAAAGCAATGTTTCTGATAAAACAACACACAGGTTTTGATGTAAGGTATTTAGGTATAATAGTTAATGTTTTTCTTATGCCTTTTTCTTAAAAGGAGGATAACCATTAGATATATGATAGACAAGTTTCAAATTGCCAAGGGAGTATTTGATCAAGAATTACCCACAGTAAATTAGCCATAGTACATTTTTATTAGAAAAAAAACAAAACAGAAGAATCTTAACTGATTCTTATTTTAAATAGTACCAGAGAGTTAATTACAGATAAAAGACACTCAAATATTTATGGAGTATTTGAAATTGACTACTGGTTAGTCAAAAGTAGTTGCAGTGCTTTCCTATTCCAGAATGGAAAACCAGCAGCTGTGGCAGGAATCTGAAGCAGCTTCTAGACGATCATCTTCGGACACCTGGGAAGTGGCATGTACTGCAGCGACTGGATAGAGGCTCCTGCAAACCAGTTCTGGAAATTATTTTTGTGAGATGTTGAATTACAGTGCCAGCTGACTCACAACCTTGCAAATCTCTTGTGTAAAGTAGGGTATTGAGTAAGAAATGGATACGGAGAACAGGGATATCTAAGCAAACAGGAGACTTAAGGGACCCTGACTCTCTCAAAGTCTCTGAATTTTCTCATGGTGTTCCCGCTGGGGAACACCATGCCTCTGGGGAGTGTGTGTGTGTGTGTGTAATATAGTCAGGAAAAAACCCAAGTTTTATAATATTCAGCCCAGGGAACTTTCCATGTCAGTTGGTTACTTTACAGGCCCAGTTTTCTTTCTCATTTTGCTGGTCCTCAAACACGACCCTTCTCCCCACACCACACTCAGCCACTCTTTGGTCTCTTTCTTCACACACACACACACACACACACAAGCATATGCACACTCACGCTCACATGCACATGGATGCACACATATGCACAATCATGCTCACACACACAGATGCACACATGCATGTTCACAGATGTCTCAATCAGAGAAGCTGTGGTTTTTCTCTATCCACACCTCCTCCCACAGGGTTCCCAGGCTTGTAGGGTGGGGAGAGGAGCCCCTTGCACAGGTTCTTGTCTGGGTCTCTGATCTCTGCCCAGCGCTGTGTCACTAGCACCACAGAAATAAAAGCTGCTGTCTGCACGTTGCACACTGGTCACCATCAGAGATGAAAATGTTACGTTGGGATGGCTGATGGGAAACTTGTCCTCGGTAAAACCTTGTTCATAGATGACATCAGAGGCCTGATTAGAAGTTGCCACCAATATGAGGCCCTGTTTTGGGGACTGATGATACCAAAACATGGTTGATGCCTCTAAGTCCACCAAGCGGCACTCCATCTTCACAGAGGCTCCGCTCTTCCTGAGAGCCCTGCTTGGATGTTGAGAGACCAGAGCGCCGAAACCAGAGCCTGTGGAAACAGGTCCGAGAGGTGAGAGAGGCCAGTGGGACTAGTCAGACATGACCGTAAGTGGGAAACTCAGCATCGCGCCCTCACCTTCCTCCCGGCAACCAGAGAAGCCTGCTCGGTCTGTGCGGTCTTCCCCTCAGGCTCCCTAGGATCATGATCACCCACCTCCCGACTGGAGACCTCTCACCTTACCCTTCATACCTGCAGATGGTGTGAATGGCCCCTCTTGCTTTCATGAGTGTAAAAACCCCACAACCTCTGGGCTCCTCACTCATGCCAGTGCCCACGCCACCCTAGCCGAGCCTCCCAGATGACAAGGCCCTTTCGTACCTGGTGCCAGAAGCAACAGGAACATCAGCATCTTCAGGTGTCCTCATGCCACACCTGCTCACGAGCGGAGAGACGAAGCCCTTCAGCCTTCCTTTCCCCTCCCAGAGAAGGCTGGGCGGCGCTTAGGTGATCCCGAGGCTCTGCCCCCTGGTGGTGATCTTTGCCAATCATGCCCGATCCATCTCTGTATCACAGAACCATACATACAGGGCCGAAAGGGACCTTAGAGATGTGCTAAGCCAACTCCTAATTTTATGGAAATACACTGGGACCTAGATCATCGAAATGCCTTAAACAAATTTCTTAGCCCTTATAAGAGAAGGGGTATATGTTTGTGTAGTAAATATCATTATAGTCAGTGCTTTTCTTCTGTAATGTATCCTCAAAGTAACTAAGAAAATTCATGACTGTTAATCACCGGAACTGCAGGTGAGCATAAGAAATCCCAGGCTAGAAGTTCAATGTGTCTTCATACTGAAGATAAGGACACTTCCTTATCTTCTAAATGATGTATTTATTTCATGACTATCTCATGCCAGTCCCCTCATCTTGATGGACTAATACTAAGCATATCTGTTTTTATAGTCTGTATGTCTTTGTGTAAATCGGAGGCAGTGAGGATAATTTATTGATAGCTATGTCACCATGATACAGGTCATAAGTGAAGTACTGGCTAGTGGAAATAAGTTCTAGGAGATTTAGATCATTATTTCCATTTTGAACATGCTGGCATATTTCACACCTGAAATCACAATTTCAAAGAAGTTGAGGGTTTTTCTCCAAATATTGCACTTTCATTTTTATAACAACTGCCAAGTTATGCTTTCAATTAATATTTAGTTATTTTTATCTGGAATGAGTAACTAGGATGGGTGGGATTAGGACTTGATCATTTTTTTACTATAGTGCCATAGGCTTTTATCACTGCATATATAATTATTGCCTACTAAATATTACTATATACATAATACTGATCTCTGTATTAAAGAGCACCTGACATGCTCTGTTTTTTCTCATGGTTGGGGCAGGGACTATTAGAAGGGGCCCAGCTCCCACTACAACTATACTTTTTCTGACAGGAGTAGGTGAATGTACTTGCAATAAGTTACTACTAGCACCACATGGTGACATATGTGGGATGATGTGGCTGGAAGCCCCAAGCTCATAAGAAAATCTTTTTACACCCTTTGAGGAGCACCAGCCATGTATGTTTTATATTTGTGTCAACTAAGGAGGAAATACGTTTCCTAGAACTTTTTGTGTGGAATGGTTCTTGACTAGAATGGATCTCAAGAAAAATATTTGGAAACGAAGCAGCTGCCATCATGCTCTGATCATCATTGGTCCAAGGCAGGGAGGAACAGTGCCAGAAGTGCCACTTTATTATATTATGGCAGCTATTCTTCAAAATGGTCCAGATGAGTCACACCTCCCAGGAGTCACATTCCTGAGTCCCTGCCTCTTGAATCTGGGCTGTCCCGAATGTGGTGGAAATGATACTGCATGCTTTTCTTTTTTTTAATTTTTATTAAGGTATCATTGATATACACTCTTATGAAGGTTTCACAAGAAAAACAATGTGGTTACTACAGTCACCCATATTATCAAGTCCCCCCCCATACCCCAATGCAGTCACTGTTCATCAGTGTAGTAAGATGCCACAGAGTCACTGTTTGTCTTCTCTGAGCTACACTGTCTTCCCTGTAAACCCCCACACACCATGTGTACCAATCATGATACCCCTCAATCCCCTTCTCCCTCCCTCCCTGTCTCCCCTCCCCACACCCTCCCCTTTGGTAACCACTAGTCCCTTCTTGGAGTCTATGAGTCTGCTGCTATTTTGTTCATTCAATTTTGCTTTATTGTTATATTCCACAAATGAGGGAAGTCATGTGGTATTTGTCTGTCTCTGCTGGACTTATTTCCCTGAGCATAATACCCTTTAGCTCCATCCATGTTGTTTGCAAATGGTAGGATTTGTTTCTTTCTTATGGCTGAATAATATTCCATTGTGTATATGTACCACTTCTTCTTTATCTATTCATTTACTGATGGACACTTAGGTTGCTTCCATATCTTGGCTATTGTAAATAGTGCTGCGATAAACATAGGGGTGCATATGTCTTTTTGAATCTGAGAAGTTGTTTTCTTTGCATAAATTCCTGGGAGTGGAATTCCCAGGTCAAATGGTATTTCTATTTTTAGTTTTTTGAGGAACCTCCATATTGCTTTCCACAGTGGTTGAACTAGTTTACATTCCCCCCAGCACTGTAGGAGGGTTCCCCTTTCTCAACATCCTCGCCAACATTTGTTGTTCCTAGTCTTTTCTATGTTGGCCATCCTAACTGGTGTGAGGTGATATCTCATTGTGGTTTTAATTTGCATTTTCCTGATAATTAGCGATGTGGAGCATCTTTTCATGTGCCTGTTGGCCATCTGAATTTCTTCTTTGGAGAAGTGTCTGTTCATATCCTCTGCCCATTTTTTAATACGGTGTTTTGCTTTTTGGGTGTTAAGGCATGTGAGTTCTTTATATATTTTGAATGTTAACCCCTTGTTGGATATGTTATTAACAAATATGTCCTCCCATACTGTAGGATGCCTTGTTGTTATGCTGGTGGTGTTCTTTGTTGCACAGAAGCTTTTTAGCATGATATAGTCCCATTTGTTCATTTTTGCTTTTGTTTCCCTTGTCCAAGGAGATGCATTCAGGAAAAAGTTGCTCATGTTTATATTCAAGTGATTTTTGCCTAAGTTTTCTTCTTAGAGTTCATGACTTACATTCAGGACTTTTATCCATTTTGAGTTTACTTTTGCATATAGGGTTAGAGAATAATCCAGTTTCATTCTCTTGCATGTAGCTGTCCAGTTTTGCCAACACCAGCTGTTGAAGAGGCTTTCATTTCCCCATTGTATGTCCACGGCTCCTTTATTGCATACTAATTGACCATATATGCTTGGGTTTATATCTGGGCTCTCTAGACTGTTCCATAGGTCTATGGGTCTGTTCTTGTGCCAGTACCAAATTGTCTTGATTACTGTGGCTTTGTAGTAGAGCTTAAAGTTGGAGAGCATAATTCCCCCAGCTTTATTTTTCCTTCTCAGGATTACTTTGGCTATTCATGGTTTTTTATGGTCCATATGAGTTTTAGACCTATTTTCTTTAGTTAGTTGAAGAATGCTGTCGGTATTTTGATAGGGATTGCATTGAGTTTGTAGATTGCTTTAGGAAGAATGGTCATTTTCACAATATTAATTCTTCCTATCCATGAGCATGGGATGTGTTTCCATTTATTGGTATCTTCCTTAATTTCTCTTAAGAGTGTCTTGTAGTTTTCAGAGTATAGGTCTTTCACTTCCTTGGTTAGGTTTATTCCTAGGTATTTTATTGTTTTTGATGCAATTGTGAATGGAATTGTTTTCCTAATTTCTCTCTCTGCTAGTTCATTGTTAGTATATAGGAATGCCACAGATTTCTGCATAATAATTTTGTATTCTGCAACTCTGCTGAATTCAGATAGTAGATCTAGTACTTTTGGAGTGGATTCTTTAGGGTTTTTTATGTACAGTATCATGTCATCTGCAAGCAGGGACAGTTTAACTTCTTCCTTGCCAATCTGGATGCCTTTTATTTCTTTGTGTTGTCTGATTTCCATGGCTAGGACCTCCAGTACTATGTTGAATAGAAGTGGGGAGAGTGGGCATCCTTGTGTTCTTCCTGATCTTAAAGGAAAAGCTTTCATCTTCTTGCTGTTAAGTATGATGTTGGCTGTGGGTTTGTCATATATGGCCTCTATTATGTTGAGCTACTTGCCCTCTATACCCATTTTGTCGAGACTTTTTATCATGAATGGATGTTGAATTTTGACAAATGCCTTTTCAGCATCTGTGGAGATGTTCATGTGGTTTTTGTCTTTCTTTTTGCTGATGTGGTGGATGATGTTGATGGATTTTTGAATGTTGTACCATCCTAGCATCCCTGGAATAAATCCTACTTGATCATGATGGATGATCTTTTTGATGTATTTTTGAATTCGGTTTGCTAATATTTTGTTGAGTATTTTTGCATCTATGTTCATCAGGGATATTGGTCTGTAATTTTCTTTTTTTGTGGTGTCTTTGCCTGGTTTTGTTATTAGAGTGATGCTGGCCTCATAGAATGAATTTGGAAGTATTCCCTCTTCTTCTACTCTTTGGAAAACTTTAAGGAGAATGGGTATTAGGTCTTCACTAAATGTTTGATAAAATTCAGCAGTGAAGCCATCTTGTCCAGGGGTTTTGTTCTTAGTAGGTTTTTGATTGCCAGTTCAATTTCATTGCTGGTAATTCATCTGTTCAGATTTTCTATTTCTTCCTTGGTCAGCCACGGAAGGTTGTTTTTTTCTAGAAAGTTGTCCATTTCTTCAAGGTTATCCAGTTCATTAGCATTTAATTTTTCATAGTATTCTAATAATTCTTTGTATTTCTGTGGTGTCTGTAATGATTTTTCCTTTCTCATTTCTGATTCTGTTTATGTGTGTAGACTCTCTTTTTTTCTTGATAAGTCTGGCTAGGGGTTTATTTTGTTAATTTTCTCAAAGAACCAACTCTTGCTTTCATTGATTCTTTCTATTGCTTTATTCTTTTCGAATTCATTTATTTCTGCTCTAATCTTTATTAGTTCCTCCTTCTACTGACTTTGGGCCTCATTTGTCCTTCTTTTTCTAATTTCATTAATTGTGAGTTTAGACTGCTTATATGGGATCGTTCTTTCTTCCTGAGGTAGGCCTGTATTACAATATACTTTCCTTTTAGCACGGCCTTGGCTGCATCCCACAGATTTTGCGGTGTTGAATTATTGTTGTCATTTGTCTCCATATATTGCGTGATCTCTGTTTTTATTTGGTTATTGATCCGTTGGTTATTTAGGAGCGTGTTGTGAAGCCTCCATATGTTTGTGGGATTTTTCATTTTCTTTGTGTAATTTATTTCTAGTTTCATACCTTTGTGGTCTGAGAAACTGGTTGGTACAATTTCAATCTTTTTGAATTTACTGAGGCTCTTTTTGTGGCCTAGTATATGATCTATTCTTGAAAATGTTCCATGTGCACTTGAAAAGAATGTGTATTCTGCTCTTTTTGGGTGTAGAGTTCTGTAGATGTCTGTTAGGTCCATCTGTTCTAATGTGTTGTTCAGTGCCTCTGTGTCCTTACTTATTTTCTGTCTGGTTGATCTGTCCTTCAGAGTAAGTGGAGGGTTGAAGTCTCCTAGAATGAATGCATTGCATTTTATTTCCCCTTTTAATTCAGTTAGTATTTGATTCACATATGTAGGTGCTCCTGTGTTGGGAGCATAGCTATTTATAATGGTTATATCTTCTTGTTGGATTGACCCCTTTATCATTATGTAGTGTCCTTCTCTGTCTCTTATGACTTTCTTTGTTTTGACATCTATTTTGTCTGATATAAGTACTGCAACTACTGCTTTTTTCTATTAGTTGCATGAAATATCTTTTTCCATCCTTTCACTTTTAGTCTATGTATGTATTTGGGTTTAAAGTGCGTCTCTTTTAGGCAGCATATGGATAGGTCTTGTTTTTTTTTACCCATTCAGTGACTCTAAGTCTTTTGATTGGTGCATTCAGTCCATTTACATTTAGGGTTAATTATTGATAGGTATGTACTTATTGCCATTGCAGGCTTTAGATCTGTGGTTACCAAAGGTTCAGGGTTAACTTCCTTACTATCTAAGAGACTAACTTAACTCACTCAATATGCTATTACAAACACAATCTAAAAGTTCTTTTCTTTTTCTCCTTTTTCTTCCTCCTCCATTCTTTGTATATTAGGTATCATATTCCATATTCTTTGTCTATCCCTTGATTGACTTTGGGGATAGTTAATTTAATTTTGCATTTGCTTAGTAATTAGCTGTTCTACTTTCTTTGCTGTGGTTTTATTACCTCTGGTGACAGCTATTAAACCCTAGGAACACTTCCATCTATAGCAGTCCCTCCAAAATAAACTGTAGAGATGGTTTGTGGGAAGTCAATTCTCTCAACTTTTGCTTATCTGGAAATTGTTTAATCCCTCCTTCAAATTTAAATGATAATCTTGCCAGATAAAGTAATCTTTGTTCCAGGCCCTTCTGCTTCATTGCATTAAATACATCATGCCACTCCCTTCTGGCCTATAAGGTTTCTGCTGAGAAGTCTGACAATAGCCTGATGTGCTTTTCTTTGTATGTGATCTTATTTCTCTCTTTGGCTGGTTTTAATAGGCTATCCTTATCCTTGATCTTTGCCATTTTAATTACTATATGTCTTGGTGTTCTGTTCCTTGGGTCCCTTGTGTTGGAAGATCTGTGGATATCCATGGCCTGAGAGACTATTTCTTTCCCCAGATTGGGGATGTTTTCAGCAATTAACTCCTCAAAGACGCTTTTTTATCCCTTTCTCTCTCTTTTCTTCTTCTGGTACCCCTATAATGTGAATATTGTTCTGTTTGGATTGGTCACACATTTCTCTCAATATTTTTTCATTCTTAGAGATCCTTTTTTCTCTCTGTGCCTCAACTTATTTGTATTCCTCTTCTCTGGTTTCTATTTCATTTACTGTCTCCTCCATTGTATCCAATCTGCTTTTAATACCCTCCATGGTGCTCTGCAACAATTGGATCTCTGACCGGAATTCATTCCTGAGTTCTTGAATGTCTTTCCATACATCCATTAGCATGTTAGTTGTCCCGACCTGCAGGACTATCAACGGGGGTCGACGACCTGGAGGAGAGAATTGAAAAAAAAAAAAGAGACAGAGGCAAGGGACACAAAGAATGACCAGCAAGACAGGATGTCTGATCAAGCTGGCACAGTTTATTGTTTGCAGGCTCAATTTATACAGGTTAGCAAGTAAGGGGTGGGTCAGGAGATAATTGGACCTTAGGCGGTGCCGGTGGGGAGGTGTAGAGGGGTGATTGGGTCTTGGTTGGTGCCAGCGGGAACGGAGGACCCAGAAGAGAAGTGGGGAGTTCGCCATTTTGGGGGTGGGGGCCCTTAGGAGGGAGGTTTTAAGGGAGGGGCTTTCCCCTGGGGCACAGGGTGTTTCTTGATTAACAAAGGACAGAAAAAGCACATGTTGTAAGGTAGCCTAACCACTAGCTCTAACCTAGGAGTTCACTAAATGCGTTTCTTGGTAATAGGGGAAAACTTGTTTCTAACGCGTGGATGGATTGATTGTTGCTGACTTTACAGGAAAGACTTTACTCAAATATTGCTGTTGTCTTAAGGCTTTTGTGACCGAGTCTGCCTAAAGGCCCACAGGTTTGCTCCCAACATCAGTGATTTTTATTTTGAACTCCCTTTCAGGAAGAGTCATGAGGTCCATGTCATCTTTCTCAGGAGTTGTATTAATAATTTTACTCTGAACCAGGTTCCTTTGGTGTTTCATAATTGTATATGGCACCCTCTAGTGCCCAGAACTCTACTCTCTGGAGCTGCTCAGCCCCTGAAGCAATGTCGGGGGATGCAGGGGAGTGGGATTGGTGCCTGGGCGGAGAAAAGAGCTGTTTCCTGCTACCCGGCTGCTGTGCCTGCCTCCACTGCCTGAGCCAGTGGGCCAAGCACACAGGTATAAGCTTTTGTCCCAGAGCAGATGGATATGGATCCCTGCTTTCCATAAGTGGCTGGAATCTCAGTCTCTCCAGGAATTCTGTCTGTCTTAGTTTTCCAACCCTGTAATCACGAGAGTATCATGAAGGCACCATGAAATGTAGGTTTGTGCTCCCAGAGCAGATCTCCAGAGTTAGGTGTTCAGCAGTCCCAGGCCTCCAGTCCCTCCCTGCTCTGTTTCTCTTCCTCCCACTGGTGAGCTGGGGTGGGGGAAAGACTTGGGTCCTGCCTGGCCACAGATTTGGTACGCTGCCCTGTTCCGTGAGATCTGCTCTTTTCTCCAGGTGTATGCAGTCTGGTGCAGTCCTCTTTCCTTTTGCTCTCTCAGAATTAGTTGTATTAATTATATTGTCATATTATATTCAGTTATAGAAGGAAGCCTCTGTCTCACCTCTCATGCCGCCATCTTTAATCCTGTATATATATATTTTTTAATTAAATTATCATTGATATACAATCTTGTGAAAGTTTCACATGAACAATATTGTGGTTTCAACATTCACCCATATTGTCAAGTCTGCCCCACACCCCACTGCAATCACCTTTTTATGTTTTAAGTTCTACACAGATGCTAGTGTCTCTTTCTCATCTCTGTTTCTCAGTGGTTTGGTCTCTGTGTGAGTTGAGCTTCCACAGAATATACAGAAGACATCCAAAAAGAACGCAGAATTCAGGAAGGAATTGAAATAAAATGCAGGAGGCCAAGGCTTGTAATGGTCAGGGACTCCCTACATTTTCCCAGAAACTGCTTTTCCCAGGAGATGCAGGACCACACAGGAGAACAAATCGGGTTTCCAGGAATATTTAAACATATTGTAATCCAGCATTTTTAGCTGTGTGCTGTGGGAAGGTTAGTCTGAATAACATAGACTGCCATTCATTTCTAGAAGTGGAATTATGTGACTAAATAAAGATTTGTAAACAAATGAAGTCCCAAGCATTAGCACCACTTGCCTTTCAGTTTGATAGACAGGTGGCAGACCGCAAAGGAAAAAAATATGCTGAAAACATATAGAGTATTTGCAAAACAGTTCTGACCACATGTCTGCCCATTGGTCATGCAAATATTTCTCTCAATCCTGACTCTCTCTTCTAAATGCAAAGTGTACATTTACACAAGCCTTCTAGGTATTTCTATGCAGATAGCTAAGGAAGGTCCCTTAGCTCCACTCACACTTCCAAATTTTCTCCTATTGCCATGGTTTCTGGGGTATGGGATGATCATCTTTGTTCCTGATTTTATCCCATAAAACAGAGCTCCTTAAGCCTGAATCGCTCTGCTGGTGCTTGTGCATCTGGTGAAATCCTACCCATCACTTGAGTTTTCTCCCACATTTTGTCTCCTCTCTGAAGCCCTTCCTGAAGTCACTAGACAGATCCGGCCTGTTGGTTCCTGGACTCCACTAACACATCTGATTAAAGCAGACAGTGTATGACATCTGATTACAGTATTTGTCTCCTGCACATTTCTCTTCCTGTAGGCTTTTCTTATTTTTTTCTGAAGGAAGGGACCATTTTTTGTTTATTTTTGTTTTCCTCTGTTTGGTAAAAAGAGCTAGGTTTTAAATTAACCTCTCTGTCTTTCTCCCATTCTCTCCTCCTGATGTAGATAGATAGATATGGACACATGTAATTTTTAAAACCAAGTTAGCGCTTTGCTGAAGTTTCGTGCTTTTCCACCATGCATGCTGATGCAGCAGCTGCCTGGTCACAGAGGAAGAAAGCAGGCGATCAGGGTCCTGAATGCAGAAAAGCCCTGCCACCTGGTGGGGAAGCAAGGCTGGGGACACGTTTATGCGCAGCATGCAGGTGGTTGAGCTGCACTGTGTCTACACTGCTGGCACAGAGATACAGAGCTGTCTGGTCCTTTTGTGTTGATGTCACAATGAGAGAAAAGGATTCTTTCTTCTTCCGAGAGGCATTGTAGCCTTTGTGGAGGTCTCCTTTCTGAACATCATTTTCAACCATCGAGTAGTAGACGAGTCTCAGCCCTTGCCCTGGATCCTGCCGGTACCAGTACATGGAATCATAATTAAAATTCTGTTCACAACGCAGGGTCACATCTTGTCCCTCCTTGCTGCACAGGTATTTTGGGGTTTGACTGATTCCACCATCCACTGTGCCTGTGAAAGGAAGAGTGGCTCTGGAAACAGCCCCGGAAGGTGGCTGATGCTGCTCTCCTGGGGAAGGCTTGGATCTGGAGCTCAGCCCCGTCAGGACTGGAACTTGCTCCCAGAACCCTGCACTCACCTGCTCCAAGACCACACAGGACCACACCACAGACCACCAGGTTGCCCATAGCAGGAAGGGGGTCTTCTTGAAGCTCCAAGTGCCTGCTGGGAGACAAATGAGGAAAGACACACAGCTATGGGGCTGCCTGGCTTATTATGTGAAATTTGTCGGAAGGCTATAGATTGCACAGCTGGAAGGGATCCTGGGGATTTTCCAGATGGGCTCCCTGATGTTGCAGCTGAGGAGGCAGAGAGCGATGCCCCAGTCACTGGTGCCTCCTTGGGCCTCCCTCCACAAGCCCTGCATCCTCTGGTTGAGTGGGCGGACACCAGCCCATTTCCAGCTAGAGCCTCACTCTGATTGGCCACCCTGATGGGTTCGACCTTCCTAATTGTGGTGCCGTTTGCTTACTGTAGACATGCTGGTCACACAAGAACACAGAGTTCGTCTGTAGGCCCATCTCTGCACGGTGCCACTGGGCTCTGCTCCATCCTGTATTCACACCAAGGCCCTGCTCTCACCCGACCGCCTCTCGCTGGCTGGGTTTACTGCTCTCTGTCATTTCCACTCTCTTAGATGTCCCTCTGCCTTCCTTCCAGGTCCTTACTGCCTTTCCATTTGGGTTTACTCCTCTTTGGGTAGTTTTTAATTTTTTTTTTCATTTCCCCCTGTTGTTGCCAGTTCCAAACTTAAGTCTTAAATTTCTGATTATAGGTTGATTATCCTACCTTCAACTGCTCATTTGAGTAGATGTAATTCTATTGGAGTGTAGACTTAAATTTTCATGACTGTTTTTTGGGAAAGATGATGAAAGGTGGGGGGCTTTCCTCTAGTCTTTGGGTTTTGCTTTCCTCTTGTTCGCTTTGATGATATTGTGGTGTTTTACAATATACCTGGCTGAATGGAGTCCTTCTCCACTGTTCTTGCAAAGTACACACTCTTCAGCAGGTTGCCTGCTTGGTTTCCACAGTGGGCTGGGGGTGGGTCCTCTTATTTGTCATGCTCTTCTGTTTTGCGGGTCTCTACATGTTCCCTTTCCTTCTTGTTTCCTTCACTACTCGATTGCCAGAGGATGCACCGTCCTTCCTCTCTGCCTTTTTATTTCTCCCTTAGAAGCTATGCACTCAGAAGACTGCCCTTAAACCTCCTGCCTAGTGCTGTAAAGGGAGTTTGCTTCAAAACCTCCCTCCTCCACCCGCTAAGGCCTGACTCAAGGGGCTGTTCTTCCGAGGTATCTGCAAATGCCCCTCGGGCCCCAGCCACTGCCTCCCGACCCCAGGATGGGGCAGGGAGGGGTGGGAGTGTGAGAAATGATTTCAGATAAATCAAAAGGCAGAGAACACATCGGAGTAACGTGGTTCATCTTCCATCCTGGCAAGGGTGGACGTCCTTGGAACATACGTATTTGAACGTATTTGAAGTGATTTTGCATTCATCTCCCTTTTGACTGAGTGAAATTGTTTCATCAAAGCAAATGGTAAAGAACACTGTTCTGTGGGGAACCCACTATTTTTTGAGTGATGAGAATAAAAAAATATTCACTGAGATAACAAAAAAGCGAGGTGATATGTTTCTAATTGTTGCCAGGCCACTGTGTCTGGGGGGGGGGTCTCTTCCTGCACACTAGGGAACCTCACCCTGGACACAGGAGGGTTCTTGTCTCTGATAGAGAAAGCGTTCACAAACAGGTTGGATGAGTGCAGGCAAGGAAGGAATTTATTGGAGTGAGTCTAGTAGCCAATGGCAGCAGACAGCAGTGGAGAGCAAGGAAGAGCAGAGGGGGGAAAGGGAAGCTCAACAAATGGCTCAGCACAGGGCAGATCCCTTGCCAACTCCCGAAGCTGGGGTCACCTGGCGTCCAGCGTCCTCTTGAATCTGCATGGCATGGGAGCTATGCCCAGGACTTGGGGGAGCTGCAGAGCACGGGATGGACTGAGATTATGTTCTGAGAACTTCCTGAAGGCAAAGAAAGGAGATTTTCGGACAGGGTGCTAAAGATCATGATCACACAATTGCAGCCCTTCTGGGTCACCCAGGTAATGAGAACTTGCAAGCCCAGTCAGAGAGCTCAGTAGCCCATCCCTGCTTGTCTGATGTAGGACAGAGAGAGAGTGAAGAACTGTGCTTAAGTCTAGAAAACTGAATCCAGTAGTGAAGTCACAAAGACACTTACCACCAGGAAAGGGGTCTCTTATCAACCTCCCAAGAGGCTTGCAAGAGTGCAGAGACAAAACCCAATGGGCTGAGCAGCAAGAAGGCTTTATTTAAGGCAAAGTACACACTGAAAGAAGGGACGGTGGGCAGCTTCAGAGAAGAGGTGTGCTTAAAGCCTTAGGATTCATGTCTTGTAAGGATTTCAAGAATAGGGTAAAGGGGTAGAGGGCATAGGCTTGACCTGTGGTCTCACGACATCTCTCTGGTGAAAGACATGGTGTCACCATCCACATGGTGTCACAGTCCTCTAGATATTCTGTAAGATAAACTGAACACAAAAAATGTATTGATCCTGTTCTTCTCCAAGACAATGGTTACCCTCAAGCCCTGGGGACATATCAGTAGGACAGCTCACCCGGCCCTAAGATAGAGTCGGTTGCTGGCTGATCACCATAAAGTGTGTCACGAATCTTATCTCCTAATTCCCTGATTTTTAAGATGGAATTGAAGCCTTAAGAAGGAGTCCCTCCTGTTCCTTCTACATTATTTATCTCTTGGCATTTTTCGTCACAGGCAGGAAAATCAATCATGATGCTTATTCCACGTCCCTGTTCTACTTCACGATGCTCCATATTTTGGGCCAGACCTTTCTCCAGAATTCCAGACAAATTTATCCGACTCTATTTCCACCACCTCTAGGATATCTTCCAGGAGGAGTTCTTAATCCTGGCATCCATACACACCTGCCAGCACCAGGCAATGGCAAAATCAGGATTATTCCAGAAAGAATAAGAAGCAACCCAGCGAATCACCGGAGCCAGACAAATGTCTTCTCCTCTGAGGCCCCACGAATGCCAGTGTCACCCAGAACCCGAGACGCCTGGTCAGGAGGAGTTTGTATACTCTCTCTCTCTCTCTCTCTCAAAAGAAAGAGAATTGAACTCCTGGAATCACATTTTCTTATGTTGACAGTGAAGAAAGTATTTCCTTTGTTTGAATGTCTTGATGATTCATTTTCTGTAGAATTCATGATCAAATTCTACATTTAAAGCAGGAACTAGAGAACTGGAAATAGAGTATAAACACACGAGAATTCTTTGTCAGTAGATTTTAACTTGACAAATTATGTCCAGTTTTTAAAGTCTTTGCCTTTTTTGGGTGACAGAATCTTAGTTTCTGAGCATGGGCTGGGATGCTTTGTGCTATGCCTAGTCCTCCCCTATTTCTGTCCTCATCCCACAAAATGCCTTGTAGCTGATCTGTTCACTAATCAAAGGCAGGTCCTTCCCAGCCCACGGCAGGCGTTCCTGGGTGGGCCTGGGGGTGTGCAGCACTGGGAGGGCGTCACTCTGCACTGATGTGGCTGAGGAGCTGGCACAGACATACATGGCAGAGTCTCCCAGGATCTTTAAGAGGCTGGGCACCTCCTTGGGGAATTCAGCAGAAAAGCGTTTCATTGGCATTCCTGACTCATCTATGATTTTTTTCTTTCTGGAGCTAAATCATGAATTTCAGACCTTTCTTCAGGGGCTGCTGATACAGTAAACACATGTGTCCTTTCAGCAGGCTGCATCTCAGTGTTGTCTCCTGGCCTCTCTTCCTGAACAGGTGTCTCGGGTTCTGGGTGACTGGCATTCGTGGGACCTCAGAGGAGAAGAGATCTCATGAGACCGAATTAACGGCCGAGGAAGTGAGCGCTTTACAATGAAGCAAGCCAAGGTGAGCTCAAGTATCCTTGAAGTCTCTTGCATTCTTTTCAAAACTCACATGAATTGTGTATTTCACTCCACAATGCAATTATTTGTTTTCATATAAAAGTCAATACCTTTCAGAAAAATCTTTGGGCAACAGGGAGGCCCAGGGTGTATTTGAAACACAACTGTAAAGCCACAGACAAAGCCCAGTGATGCTGATCCATTAGGCCAGAAGTCACCTGCCCCCAGGTGCCAGGTGATCGCCCCGCCTCTAGAGGACTGTGGTGCGCACGGCAGAGCTGGGCCTGCAGGGGTCCCACAGGCAGGCCCAGGAAGGGAGCCTCCTGCAGCAGTGCAGGGGCTAGACCACAAAGCTGCCTCTTCGTGGCTCTGTGAGGGGCTCTTCCTATGAACCCCTATTTCCAGGGGGTCCTATTGTCTCCAAAACTAACCTACACTTCAACTGAATGGGATCTCTTTGTCCTAAGTACATACACCCTGGCCTAGCATGTGTTAGCATAGGAGATGGTGTGGTGTAGGTGGGAGAGAGGTGAGCACCTTCGTTATTGGGCCTCATTAATTTTGACTACTTCCCCCTCCACTTTTTCTTATCTTTTGTTCCTTTATTTTCCTTTCATTGGCTCATATCTTTCCATTTACTCTTGCTGAGTAGAGGTGGTGATCCAAAGCGATACCTCAGCACACATGTTGAGAGGCAGGAAGTGGAGGCCAGAATTGCTGGGGAGAAAGTGACAGACAGGAAATGGTTTGACTCAGTTTCCCTCTTTCTTCCCCTACCTCAACTAAACAATGGTTTCAAGCATCTGCTGGGAACTTTATTTTATGGTTTATATTCACTTTTCTTATCTTTTGTTTTTCTACTTGAAGTTTTGATATAAGCAATTCAAAGAGCAGTCATTAGGAAAACTATAATCTCTCCCCCAACTGTCCCCCGATTCTATTTTTCTGTCGGTGCTATTCTCACTAACCACAGGTGGGAGACCTATGGCTGAAGGATCTTCCCACCTATTTGAGGACTCTCAATTGTATGCCACTGATCATGTGTCTATCCTGTTCCAGTACAATACTCTCTTGATTCCTATAGTTTTGTAGTGAGTTTTGAAATGAAGAAGTTTGAGTTGCTCAGCACTTTTTTCTTTTTCAAATTGTTTTGGCTAATTTTGGTACTTTGGACTTCCCAGTTTTAGCACTGACTTGTCAATTTCTGGGAGAAGAAAGGAATTTTGGGAATTTTGATAGGGAGTTAGTTGAATCTACAGATCCACTTGTGGAGTTCTGTCATCTTAACAATATTGTCTTCCAAGCCATGGTCATAGAATGTCTTTCCATTCGGCTAAACTTATGCCTATGTATTTTATTATTTTGATGCATTGGGCCCCTGATAAACTTTAATTGGCAATTATATGCCTCTTGACAGTAAAAG